ATATATATATATATATATATATATCTACAACATCTATAAGTGTTCATATACTTCTATTGAATATTTTATGAGGAGAAATTATAGAACATAAATGTGGCGTGTTAAATTATGAATTAACTCTTTTCATCTCAATTTATGTGTGTAATATGCTGTGCAAATATTATATATATACACACACGCACACACACATATATATATATATATATATATATATATATATATATATATATATATATATTATAGGTACGCAAATAACTCATGAAAGGTTGAAAGCTTAGAGATCCCTAATCAACTTTTCTGAGGAAAGCTATTTAAACAGAGCTTAAGCCATTAATACACACATGACACATGCATATATATATATATATATATATATATATATATATATATAACTTCATCAAAAAGAACTTAGTTTAATAGTTAGATACAGCAAATTTGGCAGATCAAAACAAATGTTTTGTTTTTGGATTTCATCGATAGATAAGCAAGCAGAATAATAACTAATAACTAATAACTAATACTAATAAATAATACTAATGAATAATACTAATGAATAATACTAATAATATATTGGAAATAATCGTAAAATGAACTATTAGGCATTTATATTAAAAAATGCCTTTATTCGCAAAGGTTGTTATTTTTTATTGCTTTACAAGACGTAATTTAGAGAATCAAACTTAAATTTCAAAATCCAAATGAATAATTGAGTATTTTTGCACTAAATGTTATTTTATTTATATTTTTTCTCCTTAAACTTAAAATAAGCTCATTTCATATCCATAGGTTTTGAGAATTGAGTTGAGCTTTAATGATTAGGCGGTACATTAGTAAAAATGCTATAAATTTTTGTTGTATATTCGATATCCATAGGTTTAGGCTAGCATCCCCACATTCATTAGGTAAAAAATAAAATTATAAATTCTAGTAGAACTATACAAAACAAAAATACAACATGGAATGAGAATGATGTGCAGAATGGTAATATTTAAGAATACCATCACAAAAGCATCAAATAGAAGTTTCAATTAATTAGGTATCTTATATAATTAAGTATCTTTGCATAAAAAACAAATCTATGCTAATTCAAATTTATGATACATTAATATTTTACATGGTTGTGAATATTTGATTTTAGTTACGAATCGTGCAATTGTGTCTTGTAATTTTAAATGAATTTTAGAAGATGTTTGGAAAACTGAGGCAGTTTATGGCAAAGCTGTATTTTAATTTTATGAAATTTTATTATGTTTACTAAAAATTATTAAAGAGAAAAAATATGTATCTATATGTAATATAACAAAAATTTCATTCCATTCGATTCATTGTTCAAATTTGTCGACATAAACACCTCATTATCATTTGGATTTTGATATATGTACATACATGTGTGTGTGGAATATATATATATATATATATATATATATATATGTAATATATATATATATATATATATATATAAACTATCAAGATCTATACATACATAAACTATCAAGATATATATATATATATATATAATATATATATAGCTACCGAAACTCTTTAAGATACCATTAAAACTTTTAATTGAAAAATATGTGTAATTATATATACATATATATTTATACATATACACATATATATGTATGTATATGTGTATCTGTATATGTATATATATATAGCTATATATATACATATATGCGTACATAGAGGTAACTTTGTAGACGAATGTACAATTTGATCAATATCTCTTGCGCCGCCGCCATAGATTCATTTGAAATACTGAGCTATATATATACACAAATTATATATATATATATATATATATATATATATATATTTGAAAGGTACCATACAAACTATATGCATGCATTAATATGCATAAATCATACCGTGGTCCATATGGAGATAAAATTTAATTCAAATTTAAAATCTAAAGTGGACCTATCTGAAGGGTCGTTAATTCATTACAAATGTAATGATATCTGTATCACTTACTTAGTTATGGAGATATTGACTGTTGATATATGATTGTATATATATATATATATATATATATATATATATATATATAATGAACTTGTCCAGGTCTACTTCAAATATCTTATTGTATTATTAGATACAATTAGTATAGTAGAGTTCATAAATATGCTATCAGTATTACATTTTTTCCTAATGCAATTAATGGACATATACCAAATAGAAGACATTAAAAAAATTGCCAAAGAACTTGTTATTTGTATTGATAACTTGAGTTATTTTTTTTGTTTTACTAACACAGATTATAAATTGCCAATTGCATCTTCTCATTGAAGTGGACCTCTAACATGCAATAACATACAAGGGTGTCACATAGACTCATAAAAATTATTATAAATTTGACTTAATAAGTATTTAAAAAATTTAGAAACTTTTGTGATAAACGAGTATATATCTTATATCAAATAGATTGTGAATAATATTAACAATTTCAATATATGCAAGTATAGTATTTTTACAAAGAAAATTGGGTTAAGTACAAGTAATATAACTATAAAATTGGGTTAAATACAATTAATATAATAAATTAAATAATTAATTAACTTTGTTAAATAAAGTAGATATTGATTGAGGCTATTTCAATATAAGTTCAAATCTTATAAGGCTTATAGTTCAAATGTTTTATACATTACATACATAAATCTTATTAGACTTATATCAAATAAAAAAAAATGTTTTCAAATATAAATATAAATATGAATATGAAATATAAATATAAATATGAATATGAATATGAATATGAATATGAATAAAAATATGAATATAAATATATGTTCTTCATCAGTGAATATAAACAATTTGGTGAATATAAACATTTTAAAAACAATAATAATAAATATAATGTACATTATTGAAAGTAGCACGTAACTCCAGTCAGTAATTTTGAATTAATAAATTAATTAAATTGGAATTGTAATAAATTTTAAGCATTTTGGGAAGACAACGTATAAATGTATTTGCTTACCTGAATATACTCAAAAATACATTTGCGTACTATACATATATAAGTAAACTCAAATTCATCGACTTCACGTTTTTTGCATAGCAAAATATAACGCCTACTCTTGATTGCATATTTCATACTCTACATTTATAATATATATTTATATATATATATATATATATATATATATATATATTCAAGACCCTTTGTATAACCTAAGCCACAATTAGCACAATAAAAGTTCCTATTGTACTCCAACAAACCATGTGAACATTGACAAAATATTTTGACACTGTAAATAACTACCTACGAACGAAGAGGAATATGAACTTTCATTGTGTAAGCCATATAATTATAACAATAACATATTTTTTTATTAACTCCCACTGAAAATGTTTCTATTGTGCGACAATTGGTCTCCATATTAGGGTTATATTGGAACTTTATTAGATTAAGAGCAAAAGTTTACAATTACTGAGAGTATTTTTATCACACGGTAAAGGACAAAATTATTGATACATCTCTGAAACGTATGAATAATAGAATATTAACAATTTTTATTAATTAAACGTAGCATTGATAAACAATTACTTTTTGATAAATCGTAATATTTATTTTTATCAAATTCTAAATATCATTTTTTTTGTTATTTATTTATTTGGCCTTATAAACTAGTACGTTAACCTACAATCCAGTATTTTGATTTATATTTATTGAAACTGTTTTATGCTTAGAATTTTACTTATATATTTGAAGAGAATAATGTAGTATTTTAGTTAGAAAAATGCAGACCAATGTTAAATTGCAAACTTTAAGAAATATTTTTCAGTTTATGAGAAATATGTTGATTCAAGTTGGTTTATGCATATCGAGTCTAGATTTTAAATATTAGATCAAATTATTTTTGATACTGAAATTGTGACATGAAAAATATGCAATTTTTGAATGTTCAGTAGACATTTCTGATATAATTTTTAAAACGAAGACTTATTTTTAAATTGCAATATACAAAACTTGCTATCCCTTATCATTAGAAGGTATATAATTAATGATTTTAATATAATACATGAGACAAAACTATTGTCTTTTAAAAGAACAAATAATATTGGAAAAAAGTCATCATCACACCGCTTATAGGACTCTGATTGCTGTTTAGAAAAACAACCAAAATATGGTTTTTTAATATACCTACTCATACTCGTTTATTCAACTACTATTATTTTTAATTTTAACTCTGGCATTATTACATAAAATAAATTCAGGATTTCATATTTCAATTATAACAATTGAATACTTTATATTCAATACCTTTGGCCATTATTTTCTATAATAATTATAATTTTAGGAACACAAACTTGAAGATACAAAACTTGCTCTTGAGCAGTTCTTTAAAAAAACAGTCATTTTATACGATTAAAAATAAATACAAACAAATAGTCAAAAATATAAAATTTATTCAAAATGAAATGATTATTTATGAGGCATAATCAAACCAAACATTATCTATGAAACCAATATTATTATTAATCAAGTCTGAAGAAAAATATAAATCAATAATATGTTTAGAAATGGGTACATTATTATTATAAATAAAACTTATACATTTTAAAATGAAAGGCTAGATTTCTATATTGGTCCATAAAATAAAGATCTATTGACATTAGAAAATTAAAATTATGATTCTTTAGAGTTCACACCCAAAGCTTACTGTTACCCTTAGCTTAAAGCTTATTGATTTCATATAGATTAGTTTGGATTTTTGGGACATAATTATTATAGCAAAGTTTTCACAGCATATATTTACATAAATATATATATATATAGAGTTACTGAATTGCCAGAATTATTTGCTATCAGAAAGTATTTGAGTATTTGAGTATTTGAGTATCATTTCTAGTTTACAGTTTGAGAACCAAAACAAAGACTAGGACAAGAAAGAACTTTACTGATGATTGTGAAAAGAAGATGGACCTGGCTTGGACCCAAATTGAGAAAAGGGTACTTCTATATGATGTCATTGAAGGCAAGATAGAGGTCTATGATAAAGGAGAATGCAGATGATGAAGGACTTACGCCAAAAAAGAAAATTTTGGAATTGAAAGCCAAGGCACAGGACACAGAAGCACTGAAGAACAAGTTTGAGAAGTAAAAGGTGAGTTGTAAAACTTGAGAAATAATATATATTTGTTCAGATCAGATACACCTATATACGTTTGTGTGTATGTTTATATCTACTTTAACGGACAAAGAAAGTTTTGATATAACGATGAGGAACCAAAAAAATCAAAAAAATTATAACATGTTTCTAAGTTGAAAACCCATCAAAACACCCTCTCTATCATGTCTTCTAACACAAAAGCATATTTCCTGCACGTATACGTTTATTTTTATGTATGTTCAGTAATTCCTGATTGGTTAGTTTGTACATAATCTGGCATGCGATTGGTCTAAATCCTATAGACAAAGAGAAACGTATGATATATTACTTTCAAACACACGAAGGGCTACCGATATATATATATATATATATATATATATATATAATATTAATGTATATTTGTAGCCTAAAGACATACTTTGTATTTGGCATATTCCAAATGAATGGGCAGCTTACTAACTTTACATGTATAGATAAACACACCATATATAAATACATATCTATACATATACTCCTACGAATACATTTATAAACCCCTAAATCAATATATTGCTCCATCTCTTTCTGTCAGATGTGAATTTTCCATCCTCTGACTTTGTCGCACTTTGAGGGTGGAACTGTACCGAAGCTCGCGTGTGTTGCGCATCTAACGAGCTTTTCGCTAAGCCACACCCACTCGGAGAGCTTACACATGGAAAAGCTCATACATAGAAACAATGGTACGTGCTATAGATTTGCATTCATATATATATATATATATATATATATATATATATATATATATATATGTATATATATAGGATTGTGTAAATTTACATATTTCCAAAAATATAGGGCTTTTGCTGGTGTAATGCCTAAAATATAAAGTTATTGCTAAACCATACTATTTAGTGCTTTTACCATAATATGAATTCATTATATTCATCAGGGGTTTATTAACTAAAACTAGTATCACATCTCTTCACATATTTTGCCAAATTGTAATATAGTATATATCAATATCGCTCTCAAAGTGTAATTTTGTTTATAATAATAAATAATATTATATATTTTCTTATATAATTTATTTTTCTAATTTCATATAATTGATAAAACTCTATAAAATATACAAATCTTTCTGATATTTTTTATCGGGGCAATTATGTTTACAATTTTTTTAACGTGGTTTATCTTTCAAATACACATTGACTGAAAATATTATCAAAATTAAAAAACGATTCGAAATTGTTATGAGAATTGTCTCTGTTTTTGTTAACAATGGAGATATTAAGGAGATATTTATAGTTTAAAGAATATACATCTTAGACTATTCATGGATATTAAAAAAAACTCAAAATAATTATTATTATCTATATTTGTTTATCTTTTGCGATAAAATGTTACAACTGTGGTTAAACTAAAAGATTTTGAACATAATCATAAAAATCATATAGTAATTTTCTGAAGTGTAAATTGATAAAAAGCTTAAAGCTTAAATCTAATTCATTCATAACAAAATTAGATTGCTACATAATACATTTTTGGTTTAACATATTTATTTAAAAGTTTATGAATATAATTGCTTTGTTAAACAAGATATGACAAAAAAAAATGATGAAAAATAGTAATAATATAATGTAAGACTCTTATAAATAACCTAAAGTTTGTTAAACAAAAATAACTTTGAATTCAAATTTAAATTGGTTAAACTAAAATTACAATACTTTTATAATATAAATAATTATAAAAGTATTAAAATACTTGAAAAATTGTACTTGCAATATATAAACACTAATCTTCATAAAACAAACTATTTATATTTAAAAATAATTAAAATTAACTAAATATAAATATAAATAATAAATGAATTAATAATAAAATAGTTTAAATTACATTAAATTTGTAAAATATTAACAAGAGCCTTATTGTAATATAAATAAATAAAATAAAAAATCAATAAATAATTAAATAAAAAAAAAAATTATAAAATAATTATTGAACTTTTGTTTATAAAATTTTATTTATGAAACATTAATATTGCATTTATTTTATCTTTTATATTTTTTTATTAATTATTCTTTATCATTAATTATATCTATTATAAATAATAGATTATTATAAATTTTAATATCCAATTTACTAGGTATTTTTACTAAATATAAATAAGTTTATAGTAAATACATTAAATAATAAATGAATAAATAATGAAATAGTTACTTAAATTACATTAAATTTGTAAAATATTGACATGAGTCTTATTATAATATAAATAAATAAATTAAAAATTAATAAATAAATAAATAAATCATAAAATAATTATTGAACTTTTTTTTATAAATTTTTATTTATGAAACGACTTATATTGCATTTATTTTATATCTTTTATATATTTTTTATTAATTATTCTCAGTTATTAATTTTATCTCTTATTATTAATAAATTATTATAAATTTTGTCTAATTTATCTAATTAATTATTATTTATAATAATAATTTTTGTCTACTTTGACCTGCATACAATGCATCTATACAGAAAAAAGTATACAAAATTCATGATCGCGAATTTTTTTTCCCAAAATTTAATAAACAAACTGGCAAAAATTTTGTTGAACTCTCATTCTAAGACAATGTAAATTCAATTGAATAATTAATTACAGGTGTAATTACTTTAAGTATGTACTTACCTATATTTACAATTCATTATTGATAAATAATTTAAACTCAAAAAGCTTCGAAATTGCTAATTTTAAGACTTTACTAGTTTAGCATATGAAAATGACAAGTTGACTTGAAAAGATGAATTAAAAGAAAGTTTTTGTTTATCGTAAAATGGTTTTGCGAGTATCTAAGTATTAAATTCATATATATATATATATATATATATATATATATATATGCATTTTTCACTTATATACAGCCTTGTTCATCCACTCACACAATGCAAAGCTGTTATGGGCGTGGTATGTATTTCATCCCCCTAAAGATTCGCATCCCTATGCACACGGACACATACATGGCACGTGGATATATATATATATATATATATATTCTGGTATATAAATGTATATATACATATATACAAGTATACGTTGACTGAATTCTATGCGGTTTAATAGAGTTAGACATTTAGTCATATCTAGTCAACGATATAACACACATATACACACAAAATAATATTATGTATAATATTGTACAAAAAATAAATTTAATTTACATTTATTTAAATAAACTCTAAGTGGATCTTATTAATATTTAACAATAAACCGTTTTGGTACCCAAAAATAACCCTGGATTGTAAAAGATTGTTCTTGGTGGCAGCAGTAACAAAATTGAAAATAAAATTTTAGTGCTGTTTGTGTAGTGTAAATATAATTATTAAATGTTTATTGATGAACTGTGTAGTTTTCTAGGTTGTGCAAGGATTAGTTACATAAAACAAAAGTGATTTGACGATTAATAATAAAAATTACTTATTAAATTAATTGGGTATAGAACAAACCAACATCAAATTGCAGTAACCCAGAGATAAATTTTGTGGCAATATATTTAGCAGTTCGGTGTAAAATTTCAAACATTAGCAAATTTTAAATCCCATCTAAAGTTTGATTTAATTAATTTTTACGAAGTTTTAAGGGTGACAAATTTATGATAATCCAACGAAAAACACTCTTAATTATCATTATGCTAAAATGTGATTGTTGATAAGAATTCATCCACGTCTGTTCAACTTTTTTCATATAGGATATTCATATATCTTTTATACTTTATTTTTTTACATAGTTTGAAATTGTTAATTTTATACAAAATATTCTTTTATTTATAAAAAAAATTCAGAGAGTGGTAAAAAAGGCCTAAATCAAATATTTAATTATGTGCTCAAGGACAAGACATAAATTCCGTTCATAAAAATCTAATATCTGCTCACGATCCTTTACAAAATATATTACACAAAACAATTTCCCTAATTTGTGTAATAAATATTTTTATTCGCATTGGATTTAAGATCTTCAGAAAACTCGGTCGACTCGCGACGGGTCGACCAATTGGTTCCTTTCGAAAATTTATTAAGAAATCCAAGTTTAAATTTTATGACAAACATCGAAGCCCCTGATAAACAATGCACAAATCCTTCCACAAATGATTATGGATATGAAAATAATTACAAAAGTGAACAGTTTAGTCCCAACGACATCAACAAAAGCCCAGAAAATTTGTCTATGAGCAATCATGTTAGGAATAAGTCTGATAAAAAATTAGAAGTTTGTAACAAAAGTGACAGTTTCATGTTTGAAAATTATTCTTGTTCGCAAAAAGACTCGGTGGCTAAGTTTTTAGAATTGAAACCAAATTTGGAAGAACCGTATTGTGGTTTTGGTGACATTCGAAAAGTTGTGGAAGGAGAATCGACTTGTGAGTTGGAAAATCGTAAAACAGTTCAGAATAATGAAGTGTTATTCGGTTTGAACCTCAAAAATAACCTTCATAAACCTTATACTAGCTACATTGACCAATCCAAAACGAATGATGTAATTTTTGATAACATAAAACTATTACAAAATACCAAAAATTCGTATGGACTTAATTTGAATTTGAAATCTGATACAATCAACGAACCAATATTCGATGCTGATGACAGAAATTTGCAACAAACTTTAAATCCAAACCGGTCTACCAATTTATCAGAATCCGATCTTCCAAGACCGAATTCGGTTCTACAAGAACCGAGTTACGACTTCAACCTGAACCGAAAATCGTCGTCGGTTCTAACCGAACCGAAAACCGATATAAACATTTGTGATCAATTAAATTTAACTATAGAACAACAACAAGAATTGACGTCCATCAAGCTGCAGAACATAGATTCTCAACAACAATCAGAGGAAGAAGACGAGGAGAATAATTTAAAGGAACAAGACGGAAATTTTGCAAAACAATTCAATATTTTTCCCGCAATATTTTCTAGACAACTAAATTTCTCTCAGCAGCAAAACAATTACAACTTAAACACGTCGGCTGCGGGGATTCCAACGCCTCCTCAAAGCCAACATAACTTAAACTTCAACTTGAACCAGTATTCCACAAATTTTAATTATCACAACATGAATAACTACTATCAGGAGAAAATGGATGAGCTGAACACGACGAGGAATCTCAGTTTATTAGGATCAATGTCAGGTTTATTGGACGAGCACCTGCACACGAATTTTCATGGAAATTTGCAAAATTTGCACACGAATTTTCATGGAAACTTACAAAACTTACACTCGAATTTACACCATCATCACCACCACCATCATCAGACGGAAATGAAGTTCATGCCAGTATTGCAGGACACGAGGTAAGGAAATTGGAGTTATATCCAGTGAAATGAAATTACTTGAAACTGTAAATTTTTTTTTCAATCATTGATATCTGTAACCAATAGATAAAAATAACTTAAGATATTATATATATGTATATATTATATATATACATATATATGTATATATATATATATATATATATATATTATTAAAACTTTATATATTACTACTCACTGACAAAAACACTCAAATTTGTTTACTACATCTACATATAAAAGTAATCTTCATATACCTTATTTTTAGTCTCAAATTGGGACATTATGGGTTTATTTAATTTTTTGGAAAATGAAAGGCAGGTTTAGCAGTTTCGAAGATCAAGTAAAAAAAGTAAAAAGAAATACTATTTTGGGGTAAAAAATGATCATTAGACATATGCGCATCTGATTATCAGATATTTCTATAGAGATTTTAATAATAAGTTTTTTTTATTAATTATTATTTATTAGTTATGATGTTCTTTCGTACAATTTTAGTGTTTCTAATAAATTTTTAGTTTTTGTGATTTTCTGGTTTGATTGCTGAATGATGACACACATTCAGTGTTGAAACGTTTAATATAGTAAAGATTTTTTTATATTAACCTTTCAATTCGACGATTTTGCTGCAAAATACTTCAAATTATATAAACGTCGGCAAAATTATCAACATACATTTATTTATATAAAAATTGTACTTATTATTTTTTTTAAATATTTTCCTTCTATCAAAATTTATGTTACTTGTATTGTTAATTTTTAAATATCAAATTTGTAGTATATATAGTAAGTTATATTTATTTGTTGAAGTCAGTTTTACTATTTTATATTTAGCAAGTTGCAAGTTCATATCTTTACAATTTAATTTCTGATAGACACAATTAAAATTCGCAAATTCTTCAATTTTTGTTTTGAAAATATTGGAAAATTATTTTTTTTATTTATTTTTTACAAGCAGATCATAGCCACTTATATCAAATATTGTTTCAAGCTTCTACCATGTCGATTGTACTAATTTTGAATCCTGAGTTGTTGGATGTTTTAAATAAAATATTCTATATGTATATAATTTTTATTTGTTAAGACAAGTAATAAATAATTTATACTTTAATAAATTTAAATTTTTGTATACATTAATTCATAAATTCAGTCAATCAAATACTTAAAATATGTTGTCAAAACTATATTTAAAATCTAATATAGTAAAATGATCAATATCATTTTTAACATTTGTTAATTTTGGAATTAGTTTGTTAATGTTACACATTAGTTCGGTTTAAAAATTTATAAAATAAACAAATATTTAAATATTTTCAAGCTTTTTATACAATTCCTGAAAATTGTACAATTAAAAAACACAATCAAACATCTTAAATAAAAGCAATGACTCTCATAGCTATGAAAATTTTGAAATATACAAATCATGATTTGATTCTATACACCAATTAATATTGAATTAATGCGAGAAATTCATAATATATCATATATAAGTATTTATCATATAAAATGAATCAATCAGTTATAACCTGCCAATGTTTTTACAGTACTCGTGTAGATTTATTAATATTATTTTATTTATTTTATGTATTCTTTTATTATCTTTATAAATTAGTAGTTTTTATAAATAAACATCAGATTATTTGACCTAATCTTTTATTAGATTTAAATATTATATGAATTTACAAATATGAAGGATTTGTTAGTGGTAAGATATCCTTTTTAATTGATCAATTAATATTCAAAAAACAATCAATTAATACTAAATGATTTGTTAGACATCCTTTTTGATGAATCAACTAATCTTAAAAAAAACTTACTTCAAATTACAAAAAATACATTTTTCATTTCAACCAATAAATATTTATAACACCGCATATATAAGTAATAAAATATTAAATATCAAGTTCGATAATCATATCAGTTAGTTTCTTTATTAATAAAATTACATGCATTATTATTTATAAAAATATATCTAGACTACTAGCATACTGTGGAAAACTATGATTTTCATTTCTATCTTTCTTTGATTTCTCTCTAGATAATATAATTATATTCATGTACTTGGCATTCTAATGTACAAAAAAGCAAAAAAGAACTACAAAATCTTCAATTAATTATTAATTTTTCAGGCAAGAATCAAGTGCAACCACACCCCTGTCCAATAAATCATCACCTGTAAACCATTCGACAACACCAAACATAAATGCAACAAATTCGACCAACGCCACAAGTTCCAGCAACAATTCATCTACTGCCGGAGGCACCAACAACAACAACTCAACGTCAGCCTCGAACACGAACAACAGTTCCTCGGTGCAGGTCCAGGACGGAGGCGATAACCAGACGAGTAGTACTACAAATAATGGAGACACCAAGGCGTCCAGCCAAGATTTTGGAGTTGGTGGGATGTATGGACAACACAGTGATGGTAAGTGATAGTTTAATAAGTTTCAAAAAATCAAGACTGACTTCAGTCTTAATTAAAATACAATGTCTGTATTATATCAACATAAACGTAGGCTTCAACATTAACTAGATTATAGTAAGAAATAATCGATCGTTGTCATTCAAGAATTCTAAACACTTTCGCCTATATATACTCGTGAAAATCTTCTATGTAAATTCAATTTAATCTTAAAGAAGTTAAGCCAATGGCATTATTCAGAAACTCGATAGGTGAGGAATTCATACACAAGTTGATCAGGTAATAAATATCAAACATTTGCGAACAATTAATATTAAAATTAAGAATTCTTCAGATTACTTTCGGATAAGATTGCTGTGCTATCATACCAATAGAATAAAGTAAGACTAGAGTCCATGGAAGCAATTTTATAAAATAAAACCATCTTTTCCATCTAATATATCACCAACATATTCTGTCATTATACCCAAGAAGGGTGCAACAGTTAACTATTTAAATATATGAAATTAACTAGCCTACAGGAAGTTAAAAATAGAATTTATTTTTAATAATTTACTTTGTAACTTAAGATTTCTGAATTATTATACTATACCATTTAACTTTACCTTGAAGGTTTCGATAAATGTGATAATTTTCCTTAAATAGTAGGCAAGTCATTGCAAAATTTAAGTTAAAAATTTCATTTATATACAATCAGTTTGAAGACTCTTTTCAAGGGGTCTTTGAGCTTCTAAAATTCATGATTTATTTATTATACCTTTAAAAATGTATAACTGTCTTTCAACAACAAAGTGAGTTATTATGAAACTCCAAAACGTACAATTTAAAATTTTCTAATAATATAGACTATAAATGATGTTTTTTCCAAATATGATATTTTTATAAGCCTTTTGGTATTACGAACTCTCAACCCTTTTAGGTAGTTAATATTAATTGCAAGACCTTTTTCTAATATGGGTATAAATAGGGTCAAACGATGTTTATCATGCTTAATAAGTATTCAAATAAAATATTAGCATAGAGTTGTGCTTTAAACCATTTTGTTTGTTTGCATTTTTGTCATAATGATTGTAAAGTTACCTAATTTCGTAGGCAAATCAAATAATATATCATCAATAGATTTTGAAAAAAATTGGTGTTTGTAATATAAACAAGTACGTTTTTGGATATATTTTTATTTCTACCACAGTAGATCAAAGAGTACTACTTTAAGCTGCCTTTATGTTACATGAACACAACCATATACATTATGACCTTAATAATAATATCTTATAATTTTGATTATAATTTAAGTCAAGAAGTTGTCAAATTTAATATAAATAAGGCATTCTTTAATCACACATTTCATTCAGATAAGCACTATATGTGTATTTATTTACGTGTACTGATTATGCTTACATATTATATTATTTATTATATTTGTCATTTATAATTTTATATGCAGCTTACACCCCTAACATATTTTAGATAATTTAACCTTAACCATTACTCTATCGGGTTTTCCAACTAAAAATATATTAGACTCTTTACTGGTTTTCGTGGTTTATTTGCCAATCAATTTACTGATTAATACCGTGATAAGTCGGCTTGCGAACGCTATAACACCCGTAGAAAAACGAGTGATCGTAGGGTCGTGGCAGTCCAGTGGTCACGGTTAGGTCATAGTAGATACAAGACAGCCTACGAATATAGGGTAAAAGTATGAGCTAGGTATATGCACCTGTAAATAAATATATGTAGGTTATCATATAATAAATAAAAATGTTATACATATTTCTTTCTACTTAATAAAATTTTATGTGAATTTACATATACATACGATATCAAATTCTGTGTCAAAAGATTCAGTCTAAAAAGCATAAAATTAGCAAATCAGATTTTCTGAACTTCACTTCGGAAAGTTAATAAAATAAATACTGAATTTCATTTTACCAAGTATATGTTTGTCAACCTGCCTAATTTGGTGGACAAAAGAAACATTCGGAAATGTGAATACAATCGCACACTTTTCGTATTTATTTTGATTGCAACCACGTGCCAACTCAAAATAAAGCCTGGCTTAACAAAAGTCAAGCCTTTGAACAAATATCGAGGTTGGGCGAATATTTTTATTTACTCTGAAAATCAGAGGCACGCGCCGAGGGTTGTTTTCCGCGACCTATCATTAAATACGTATATGAGGGCGAGAAACGTATGAAAGCAACTTGTAATTAGGCTGGATTCACACATTCGATGAATTGTAGTAGGTACTCAAGTCAGCTTAAAAAGAATAAATTTGATTTGAGCAAACATTTATGGAATTTTTTTGATATATCTGAATATATTAATCAAAAATAAATTGGGAAATGAATTGCTTGGATATCCATTCACAATGCCGTATGTATGTCTGAAAATGTTTGTACAAGTCAATATGGTTTAATGGTAAATTACTGAAACATCACTGATGTTAATGATTTTTGAAACATCATTGTAAAATAGGTGTAAAATTTGTCATCTTTATAAACAGTTTTTATTTAGTATATAATTGTTTTGAGAATAGCCTAATTTTTTATGGGTTTTTGTTAGTTTTCAGCAGTTTGCAGTCAAAACAAAACCCAAAAAATTCAAATAGAGCCTATTTTTATAAAATTTCATACAGTTACTAACATGATTATAAAATAAAGAAATTTAAACTTTTGCGGACATTCTCAATATCAAAAATGGTTTGTGACTTTATTATAGATATGAGTTCATGATGAATTGGAATTTTATACAAAAATGTTGTCCGGCAAAATTTAATTTAGCGAGTATTTTCCAATTGGAAAAGTTAATTCAAATTACATACTACTTGGCAATTTGCTCGGTCCATAAATTTATAGATATGTATGTATGTACATCCACAATTAAACTTTTTCAATAATAATAAGACCATTTTGATAGGAGCAAACATATATAGGGGGTCCTTAATATGGACATTTTCGAGTTTTCTTGCTCCCAAGGGCTAAAATAGTTCCAAATTGATGAAAAACAATCTCTGAAAGTTTTAGCTCTTAATATTAACTTTTAGAAAGTGCGCAACTCAATCAAACTTCGTATGGAAATAGCATAGAAAAAATTTTGAAAATTAAAAAAATGTGGTTTAGATGTAATTTTGCGAACAAATGAATGAATAAAACTTATTCATTTGTCGCTAAGTTATACCTAAAACATTTTTTTTTAATTTTCAAAATTTTTTCCATACTATTTCCATACGAAGAGCAAGGAAATTCGAAAATGTCCATATTAAGGACCACCTTAATCTGGACCTTAACTAACACTCTGATATTACCCTGCCAGATTTCAACGTCTAGAAACTATATTTTAATCTATAGTAGAAAATCACTGAATCTCACTCAGTTTTGCACAAGAAATGTTATTTATAAATAACTATAGGTAACATATATCTTTCTACTAATAAAATAAGGACGATACTGAGAAATATCACTTAGAATGAATATACCAGATGAAATTCAGTGCCGATAGAAAATTTTGCTTTATTAGAATAGCAAATTCGTTTTTCCCTGCATATTGTGATATGCTAGTAACAGTCATCATTGACATTCTGGTAGAAATAAATATCAAAATGTTGAAGTCTCATATTGTTCCATATCACATCTATAACCAAAATTCGTGTAGAATTTTCGAAAAACAGTTCACATATCACATTATTATATAAAAGCAAATTTTTATAGTAACAAATGAATAAAATACTTTTTTTAGTATATACGAATCTATATTGTGCGTATATTAAATTGTCAACATCAAAAAAACATTTACATTTCAATTTCTCTATATCGTTTTGATACCGCTTCATCTCAACAAGTTTTATAAACGTATGCTTTTAAAAGCACCTCCGTGTTCATCTATTTTTTTACCTTTATTTGAAGTTAAAAAGAATTTTTTATCAACGACATGCGCTTGCAAAAACACATGATCAAAACGTTTTTACAAAACCGAGTCCGTTGAAAGCTAAAAGACTAAAGAGTAGGTGGCTTAACATGTTACCTAAAGAAATCAAAGAGGTTTTTATTTTGGTAATTTATATGAAAACACATTCTGCCAGATTTATAATGCTTGGTTAAGTCTATAAATTTTGATGACAAATATACCTACTTTTTGTGTTTTGTATTATAATTACAAAGTTGTAAGAATGAATAAGTTTATCGTACTAGTTGGTTCTTGCACGACTATCTGCATATTATTTAAAAACAAATGTTTATTGTTATCAAAAACTTTGCTTTAAAATCAAGAAAACTAGTGGGGCGCATGGCATTGTGCTTTAAGGCAAATTGCTGGAACTTCCCGTACCAAAAAATTTTTTTTTTTAAATATTAACATTTTTGAAAAAAAATTACTCTGAAAAAAATAGATTTTTGAGAAACTATAAATTTGTGACAAAAATTTACTTTTTTTGAAAAAAAAGACTTTAAGGAACAATTTATTTTGAAATATTTTGAAATTCTGAACTTTTTTTCAAAGCAATCGTACTGCTTTAACTGCATAGAGACGAAATATCGAAGCGCGTAAGCGCCGCATCGCCGTCTAACGGATAAGCATTGGTACGGAACCCATAGGAATGTAAACAAAATTTATACTTATTGTTAAAATCTCTATAAAATATCTGATATGATATTGATATGCATATGCATCTAATGATCATTTTTGACCGCCAAATGCTTTTTTTTACTTTTCTTTTTTTACTAGACTCCGAAACCGCAGACCTGCCTTCATGAAATTTTGATCAGTTCTTCTTCTTGTTAATAAAAGTAAAATGTTTTTTGAATTATTCAAATCGGACGCTTCATCTCTTAAAAACTGAGTTACCGTTTTTGGCACTTTTTGCCCCGTATCTTCGAAACGGCTAGACCTGCCTTCGCCAAAAATTAATGAGCACGTCTCCTTATCATGAATCGAACGTTTTTTGAATTATTCAAATCGGTTGATTGGTGTTCCCGGAATCGTCGACGAAAATTTGTATCCGCACA